ATATATATATATATATATATATATATCTTTATGATATTGATATTAATATAATTCAGCCTTTATTTTCTTCTTGCATAAGTTGTCTCCCTCAGAATTCACTGGACTCTCTTTTCTCTTCTTTTGAGTATTGTCTTGTTGGGTTGAAAGCTCAATTTACATTGTCCATCCAGTTGGCTCATTTCTCGCGGAAAACCAAAAAGAGTGAACATATCGTTAATTATCATAGGTGCACAGCAGAAGGAAGTGTTTTCAATTATGAAATATACTTTAACTTGTTGGATTTGTCACAAACTTACAGTGCTGCGTGTTTCGAATTTGTCAGAATTGGCAAGTGTCAGCTTGCCCCCCACCAAGAATTATTCCTGCTTGTTCACTTCATTTAACAGAGCAACAATTATATCTGCAGTTAAAATACGCTCAAAGACATAAATATCAAATTTGAAGAAAATTATCATCACTCATCAAACAAATCACAAGGAGCAGAATAAATAGTAACTAATCTGATTATGAACATATGAGTAAAATATTCACTTGCGCAACCAAGGTTAGTAATCACTTGTTGTAAGCATTTGAAGAAATTGAAGACCCATTAAAAAGATTTCTTTTTTCAAAATTTGCTTCTCAAAAATTAACTTCAAGCACCACTTGTTTACTTGAAAGTGTTCATCTCAAAACGTTATCCGTTCTGTACACAAACTAAAGAGACCACTTAAATTGGGGGCAGAAGTAAAGTTCAGTGAAAAAGAATAAATAAATTAACAGGAGACTCTTGGCTCCATAAAAAGAATTTCAAGTTGAAACAAAAATTAAGTCTAACACATGCCGCTGAAGTTGTTCTCAACATCTTCTCCAATCAAGGCAATATCAATAAATCCTTCAAGAGCAACTCAATATGATAAGAGTTCCACAATTGTACATTATAGAGTTCGAGAGTTTTTGACCTGTGTTTTCAATTGAAATATAATAGAAACTATACATGTCAACTAAAGAATCAAGATATCAATTTACTTTAAAATCAGTTCCCTATTTAATCTTTCCAACTCATTAATATCATCACATGGGTAAATCAAATACTGTAAGCTGGGTTTCCTAATCCATAGATACCTTTTATCAATCATTGTGTACACCCTTCCCGCATTGCACACAAAAAAATTCCTAGGATACTTGTTCAAGAAAAACTCACACGGAGCCAATTCAGGAAAATCTTGTCCGAGGGAATCTAATTTTGAATGCCCACATTACATGCCTTGCATTAGTCCTCCTACAGTTGGGATGTTGTGATGCTAAAATAACAAAGTATCAAATTGTTTTTCTAGATTTTCATCTCAACACTTTCAGAACTCCCTGAAGATGGGCATTCAATATTTAGCTACAAACAATGCAGTTCTCTGCAATAATATTTCATTGGCAATTTACTACCATGGTGTTGCTATTCAAATTTGTAATACACCAACTCAAAATTGTAAGTATCTGGTGCGACAATGAACATTATATTGAACTCAAGTCTACCTTTCTCAGACTTGTAATATACCAACTCAAAATTTTAAATATCTGGTGCGACAATGAACATTATGTTGAACTCAAGTCTAGCTTTCTCAGACTTGTAATACAGTAACTCAAAATTTTAAGTATCTGGTGTGACAATGAACATTATGTTGAACTCAAGTCTAGCTTTCTCAGACTTTTTTCATTAGCCAAATAATTTTCTAATTGTACTAATAAGATGAGGATTCAAATGATGTATCATATCCATTATACATGGTAAGCACTCCCTCAATTTCACTAAGTACGTTTATTTTTCTTTCCGATTAGAAAGATACACTTACAATGGAAGACAACATGAGAGTGTTTTAGGTCAAATCCATATATAATCGATACCTTCACAAAATTATCAAGAACAAGAACATCTAAGACTATAGACAACCAGTGATGATTTTCACATCCACAACAGAATCATAGAAGAAAAGAAAAGATACATTAGGCAAAAAAAGGGATACCTTGTATGTGATTTCTACTATTTCGAGTAGAAAAATGAAATGGAAAGGAGCTTACTGAACATTGTGTTTTAAATTGATGTCCGGCATGGTGAAATTAAAAATTCTTTGAAAATAAGAAGGGAGGCTTCAACAAGTATGATATCTATACAACGTCCATGAGTGTTCAGTGCATCTAACGCATCACCTGTTGAATCCACTGAGGTAACTGTGCAGCAAGAAGAAAACATAGAAGGTGAAAAAATCTCAATATAAAAGAGACTAAAGAAGAAGAAAAACAAATCCAAATTTCTTGATCATTGAGTGAAACATTTAAAATGAGGCATTAATATTCTTTTAAGCCGTTGGAGAAAAGAGACCTTAAATCAAGAATTCACAATCATGCATTTCGTATGCCCGACACTATTCTATTTACTCTCTCAAATGAGAGAGAAATCACGCCTTGCTCCCTCCTGACATCTATTGGGAGGGAACCTCCTTTGAGAGTGTGATTCGTCGTTTCTAAGTTTTAAGAAATAGTAAGGCAGTAACGAAAAAATATTATCTTCAAATCTCATGAGTGAGATTTTTCAAATGTATACCTGAGTTAGTTATTGTTGAATCATGTCAGCTGATGGCAAGTCTTACAAATGAAAACATGGGGAAACAATCCTAATGACAAGTTTTAATCTTGAAATTTCTTTGTTCCCGTAGGGGAATACCACTACAACTGCGAGGTAGAGAGGCTCAATATTAGCTCATTTAACATATCCTGATGGAAGACGACAAATACACTGTATAATTAAGTAGTAATGTAGTATCATACCTAATCCAATACTTCCCCAAAATGAAAAATATAACAGAGTGATTTAGAAAGCAATGTAGGAAACAACAATAATAAGGTATATAATTTTGCATTATACTATAGAGTGCCAATGATAATTAGGAAGGGATTTTTTTCGTGGAAATCATTGACCAACTTATTTTTGTTCTGATTTAATATTGAATAAGATACTGACAGAAATATTATTCTAGCAACAACATTACTTAAGAAGGGCTAACACTTCCTAGAAACTCTCAATGTCGGTGTCAAAAGGTTGAACCCTCACATTGCTCAAATTCATATGGCAAATAAAACAAGACATGATCCAAATGAGATTCTTCTTCCTTGAGAATACATTAAAATTTTTTTTTTTGATGAGGGCATATCAAATACACATGAACATCTAGTCCTTCAAAATTAAGGAGCTCTGTTTCTATTACATCACACACTTTATGGAAATTTTACAGTAAAAATTCTTCTGAAAGAATTCACTGTAGCAGAGATCATGAATTCCAGTAGTAGTAGTTTAGATGTAAGCATCATCAACCTATCATCTTTACATGATTACTGGAAAATGTTAGTCCGAAAACAAAATGCAAAGTTATTCTTTCCTTCTTCTTTCTTTGTTTGGAATTTCCTTTTATCAATAGATTAAAAATGCCAAGCCATTCGCTCTATTAACATGGGCATCAAGTTTCGAACATAACACAGACCACACTGTATATTTACCTGACTATTCGAGTACGCCATAACATTCTAATTTTGATTTTTGAAAATAACTTGTTAATTTAAAAAGGTAATTTAACATATTATTGCACAACATTTATTCTGATGACATTACAATAGCATTTGTAAATCATTATAAAAATCACTACCCCACAACACAAAGAACAATTATATACATTCAAAGGAACAATGAAAGAAAATAAAAAGGTGATGTGTAGAACTGCATAGTTAATTCGAACAAAGCACTCATAAAGAAAAGAAATTCAAAACAAATTAGTTAATTACTACCATCGTTTGTTACTTTGCAGTTTGCGCTATCGCCGTCCAATGATACTCATAGATTTGACCCAGTAATGCCATTGAATTTTGAAATTTAGAAGTGTGGGAAGAATTGAGAAGAAGTGTGAGAAGGGAAAAAATTATGAAGAGTAAAAAAGAAGGCATAAACAAAATTAATCAAAAAATATACCTACAGCTTGAACACAAACACCCTTGAGGCTTGGGAGCAAGAACAGAAGCTTGTTGATAGTAGTCGGCAACATCTCTAGCATGTGAAAGACATGACACCCATGACCCAACTTGATGAACCAACTCAAGAAGAGTTGGTCTCTTAGAGTTTTCCCTGCTGCAGCAAAAAAATAATCAAGTACTCCACAGAAAATGACTTGGACATAAAACCAAACACCGTGGATGCACAATCCATTTCTAAATCTGAATGCATGTGTAAATCAGGTAAAATTACTAACATGTTCTTGAAATCTTAGCAAGAAATTATATTTAAAACAATTAGAAAGTAACAAATATAAAATATATCAAATTATCATCGATAAAAATAAAGCAAGATTGGAAAAGATCCAGTCAATTCTCACCAAAAAATAGCTTGAAGTTTGCATAGAGAAGAAGAAGACGCAAGTGAGAGGAGGAAAGAGACTGACCAAGAATGAGAGTTGAAAACGAAAATAAAAAGATAGACACGTGTCTAGAAAAGAAAGGAATGAAATTCAAGTACAATACAGGTGTCTATGCGAGGGAGAAGCTAAAAAAATATCATTGCCAGTACACGTAACATTTGGTACTGTTATGTAATGCAGTATTCGTCCCATTACCCTGTTTGTCCCAAATTCACCGTACAACACGTGTTAATTTAAGTACAACCTTTTGTTGCTGTGTTAGTCCTTCTAAATGTACAATTAGTACTGCCTTTAGTACAATGAAAAGATGCAGTGTTGGTCCTTTTTAAGTCCCATTTCTACATAAGGGTAATATGCATAGTGTACATATAGTGTATAACAATGTATAAAATATATATACACTATTACACATTTTGTTATATAGATTTTAAAATGGATAATGAAGAAATGATTAAAAGGGTTTTGTAGCAGCTTTTGGGGAAGAAGATAAAAGAAATAAAAAACTATCAAGTTAGAAATATTTCACTACCATATATGATATTATTATCTATATTTTCAAAATATTGCATAACTTATCCATTAATTAAGAGTTTTCTATGTACCTTACACTTAGATACATGTATTTTTGCTACAAGATATACAAAAATAGGGATAAAGGTGAGCGAGATTCATATCTATCCCAGATACAGGCGAATCACACTGGATACACATTAGATACATGTATATGTATGTATATGGAGTGATTCACATGCAGTGGCGGATCCAGGATTTAGACTCCGTGGGTGCCAAATAGACTTATTGATTAAATTAATTTTATATTTAATTAAATTATTTCGATATAAATTAATTTTAGCTCTAATTTTTCTTAAAAGAACGTGTACAACAATTTCCTTTTTCTTAAAACAATGTCTTTCTCAAAAAAATAGGTACAAATGGGATTCAAACCCGCAACATCAGCCTTCTAAAGTTGCCCTCCCTACCTTGGCACCACAAGCCAATTTTGTTCTGTGGGTGGCACGCTTTATATAAATATAAATATTATATATATATACCTATGTATATATAGAGTTTCCGTCGAAGTTCGGGGGTGGCGTGGCACCCCCACATGCCTTAATAGATCCGCCTCTGTTCACATGTTTCTAAAATTTATGGGAGAGTGCAAGCGAGATGGGAGAGAGGCAAACGAGATCTGTTATATGTCTCAAATACATGAGAATTCACTTGGACAATATATCTAGACCAAATTACACCTAAATTTGAGCCATGTATCCCAGATACATGTATTTGGATGTATTTGGACGCACTAAAATCTAGTAAGATACGTAATATTACAAATAGAATGTGTCTAAGTAATTAGCACATAAACTAGTGGGATTTGGGTAAGTTTCCTTAAAACAAAATATTAAAAGAGATTTGGCTTCCTAAAATTAGTAATTAGCTATGTAGTGAGATAATTACCCATCCCAATATGTTCCAAACTTGAACATGCATTAATAGATCCCTAAAATAACAATAATAATTCCAATTAAATACTCTATATTTGTCTTACTTCCTCTCTCGTTGATATATATTTATCATTTATTTATTAACTTTTTCAATAATAACATACTTAAATATTTAGCCTAGCTAGTGTTGGTAGTACTATTCTGGTAGTTTCTTATTTGTTGATTTCTGTTATAATTTGTTGTTCTTTGTATTTCATCTATGATGTATTTTATTATAGTTATTGTCTTGTTACTATATATAGGTTATTTTTCTCACTATATGCTATTTTCTATACTTCTGTTACTTTTTTTTGGACGGCTTTGGATGATTTTTTCTTGAGTTAGGGGTCTATTGAAAATAGTTTCTCTGCCTTAAAGGTAGAAGTAAGGTTTGCGTATATTCTATTCTCTCCGCCTCTCTACTTCGTAGGATTTTATTGAGTATACAAATAAATGACTTTAGACATGAATTTTTTCTGAATTTTGTAGGAAGCTTAAAAAGAAAACCTAATCGTTCTCAGTTTGGTTTCAAATTCTCCCAAAAAGTGTGAATATGTTACTTAAACATAGTTATACACTGTTTTTTATACATAATTATACATCACTATTCACTTATGCATTATATATAATATATACTAATTAATGTATAAGATATATATACAGTATTGTATATAATATAGGTAAAAGAGTCTAATATACCCCTCAACTTTGTTATTTAGAGCTGATATACCTCTCGTTATGAAAATGACTCATATATACCCCTACTGTTGTACAAATGACTCACATATACCCCTATTGTTATATAAATGACTCACATATTCATCTAACGGAAATGAAAAAAATAGTTTTAGATTTATTTTTTTGACTTTTAATTTTAAGAAAATCCATGTAGGGATATATATAATCGTTCTAGTAAAGTTCAAGGTATATTTTTCATACATAAATTATTTTTTGACTTGTTTGATTATCATTATTGGAGAGAGTAGTAGTTTAGCTCGAATATTAGTTTAAATATTAATAGATCTTGGAGTCATCTTTGTAAATATTTTTGGATACTTTGTATACCGATAATAAGACAAGTAAGATCTTAGCTTATGAATATTGCTTTTGGACGTTATGATTTAAAAATTACATTATTTGACTTTCAAATTAAATGAAATAAACTAAAAGTTTGATAGATGATATCATTTATAAAACTAAAATCATGTGAATAATTGATGATTTAATTTTTTTCACATGCATAGAGATCAATTATTATTACAAATATATGTCATGTGAGACAGCCTCATTTATTCATTTTTCTGTTAATTATTTGCTGATAATGTTAGTTTTTGCTGACTTTGACCACTAATTAATACTCCAATTTTTCATTTATGACAAACACTTGTATTGTATGTTTTCCAATTTTATATGGGCTATTTAAAATAGTAATAATATTAATTATATCTACACCACATGGCATTTTAATTGTTGCCAAATTGAAATGAATTATTGTCAAATATGTACAAATTAAATTCAAAATTTGTTACACCCTCTATTACACATTATTGTCAATTTACAAAATTAAGATTAAATTATTATTTTTTCATTTTACCTTTAAAAAACATTTAGTCAAAAGAGTGCATTAATAGTCTGGATAAGGCAATTATAGTAGAATATATTAAAAAGAATTAAAGGATAAATTAGTTCTTCCTATTTATGATTTCTTAAGAAACGTGCAAAGACAAAATGATTGATAAGTAATACGGAATGGAAGGAGTATTTTCTTGTCACTAATTTTTAGTATATTTGAAAAGTTTGCACGACTTATGTCACATTCGTTATCACACTCGCTCAACACAAGTACATTATATCAGATAATATCAATATCCTACCTATGGAAAAATCCAAGTGATGGTTGGAAATGGTCTGAGTCGAAGTCATGATCGAACATGATGCTTATTTGATAAGCGTGATTAAGAAATAAGATCTTTAGTATCAGCTATAACTTTTGACATATAATAGTAAGTGCTTGATATATCGTAACAAATGATACTAGAGTCAAGATTCAAAATTATATTCCCAAAAACAACATATTGCATGTGACATGTGGTGTTGAGAGGCTCGAAGATTAATATTATTGTGTAAAGCCAACATCCTATCTACGACGAAACAAGTCGTAACATGCACACGTCTCAACTAAAAAGGGCAAAAAAGTTACAATATGCCTACAAAAGAACAGATATGGGTCATCATGCCACTGTTGCAAAACCAAAAATCTTCTTGTGTCTACCATTTTTCTGTCCTTATAATCAACCATTAAATTTTTTACAATAAGTGTAGTAATACAATAAATATCCTATATATTATTAGAAATAAGAAATTAGCAGTGGATAAAATTTCATAGTTAATCTTATGCTAATATTTCTTTTTGCTATAGACTAGTACTGACGGGTTATAAATAAATTCAAGATATAGAAGTTATTTAGTAATAAATTAATTAGGAATTACTGATAAATTACGTAGCTTATCCTATAATATTTCTTTTTGCTATAGATTAGTAGTATGCCTTTCAAAATCATTTTGGTCCAAGACATTCCAATAATTGAGAATTTACAAATGGTTTAGGGGTCCATTAATAACTAGGAATGTGTCTATTATTGCATATACTCCATTAATAGGGTCAGATTTCTAATATGGTTGATTATTATTTTAGAGTTATATTTTTTTTAATTTTAAATTATTTTTATTAAAAAAAGTAACTTTATGAAATAATAATTAGAATTGAATGACCATTTGAAAATCAATTGTCCATTTATCGTATGAATCATTTGTTCTGAAAACAAGTTATGATGCAATACAATAATTAAAAAAGCATAAACTATTGTTATCGGATGTTTGGTTTGTTATATAAGAAAAATGGTTTGAGGAGACCCACAAGAGTAGTTTTGGCATTTTTAATGTTTTATACATGTATAACAAAAGGGAAAAAAGCCAAATTTGAGATAAAAGATACGTTAAAACATTTTATGAGCCAATAACCTAACGAAGAGCAAATATGAGGCAATCACAAACGTTAAGGGTATTTTTGACATTTTTTCATATTTTATATAATTATTTGTATATTCAATTTTAGTGTAATGAACCAAATACCCAATAAAAAATAATTTATGTATTATATATTCTCCATATTTATTTGTCTTCTTATCAAATGTTACCTCGTATATACATTCAAAACTTCGAAATGGAGATATTCAATATTAGGGCTGGGTATAAAATATCGAAAACTGAATATCGAATCGAAATTTTTGATAATTTGGTATTCGTATTTAGTATGGTATTCGGGAGTAAAATTTTAAAATTATGATATTCAGGTTTGGGTTTGGTATAAGAAATCGGTATCATTTGGTATTCGGTATTTTTCCAATACCAAATTATTTATTTAATGAAGGTCATATTACCGAATACCATACCAAATCGAAGTTTGATTTACTGTTTACCGAACCAAAATTTGAAAATTTGATATCTACTTTTAATAACCAATTACCGAAGTACTGAACCCGAAATTTAGAAAACCCAAACCGAATACCGAACGCCCACCCTAATTCAATACTAATACTTAAAAGAAGTTTTCCATGTTTTGTAGAAAG